GGTTCTGCAAATCCTCGTAACTGACATTTGTGCCAAAAAAAGATATTTGCTCACCGGAAGCCCCTGGCATCAAACCCTTAACCAGTTATACTAAAATATCGATACTTAGACATAAGAAGAAGAGATATTTCAAGTTAAAAAGAGAGTACCGTTTTGTATTAAGACAAGTTTTACTCTCTTCTGTAAAATTTAGGCAACCTCTCATACAAGGTTTTGCATTTTCTTGATACGCGGTTTTGTGCTTTAAACGACGACATGTACATATGTATCGATAATAAATACAAAAATTATGGGCGCCAAAAAAATTAGTGATTTTATCTTGACGTGTTTATGGCTACAGATAGATATGTTTGATATTAGTTAAATTTTAATAGTTAGTAAATGTTTGGGTTTATGATTTTGTTTATTTGTTAATAAATTACTTTAATCTACTATAGTCAGTCATTAGGCTGGTTGTAGTTGCTTCTTTATGAACTGTAGGCTATTTGTTAAGTTGTGAACTTTAGATAGGCATTAGTCGCTAATAAATGTGTAATAATTGACCCAAAATGTAGGTATGTGTATGAACTTAAACTTGATGCTTGAATTATTGAAATGTTTCAAACATAGTTTGCATCCCATGCATATGTATCTACGTATTTATGGACTTATGTTTGCGTACCTTGCAGGGAAACCGCGAACCAGTGATTAAAATTGCTGGTTCCGTTCTAGATTTTTGTCGCTAAAAACGAACCAGCCCTATAGTAACTAGATCCCAACCAGGCCAAAATCAGCGAATTGTGGTTCTTAAAAAAAAAAAAACTATTTCATTTCACTTTTTTAATTAGAAATCTATAGCTGAGGTGGCGAATTCAGAACTGGTTCGCAGCTACCAAAAAAGTGATGCAGGGGGCGGCTTGCTAACTTTACATGGATTTGTGTTTGGCGGCTTTTTCGTTCAAATATGCTTTCATTCTGCACTTCGCAGATTCATTTTCATAGTTTGGTATATAACCAATAATGGTCTCGAATATAACCAATAACAGCGTGCACCTCTGCAAACTCAGCTACAGCCAAAGGTATGTAAACGTACATTTCTTACAAACATTCAAACAAATTTAATATGAAATTGAAAACACATTTCTTTGAAAATAATTTAAAATCGAGCACACGGAAGAACCAAAACGATTGAAAACATCATGATACCTTTCTCATCTGTCGATTTTAGAACTGGTTCGGAACTAACGAAAAAGCGATGCAGCGGGGGGCAATTGAGTCTTCCTAGGACAACGCAATGCATCTCTAATACAGAACCAATTCGGCACCAGTACGTTTCCCGACCGGGTATGTACATACATAGGTGCTTCAAATGCTTGTTTGCTATTATACCACTTGTATGTATGTATGTATGTATCTATGCGTGTGAATAAATTTAAAAATAGCCGGCGAAAATAGCAAAGCAACGCGAATAAAACGTGACTTCACCAAATTTACACATCCCATTAATCCAGCAGTCAGTCAAAAGAGTTGATGACACCGTTGGACATTTTGTGTACGCCGCATTAGTGAAACCGTCATTTTCACTTGTGTGTTTGCGAAAATAGAAGACGATAAATTAAAATACGCAGCGTAAGTAAACAAACTAATGTAGGAAGTCAGCTGCTGAAGATGGACAAGTAAGATTTTAAAGAATTGTTTAGTGAATGTGATTAAATATATATATTTTTTAATTATAGTAATTTTAATATGCTTGTATGCTTTAATTTGTTTTTTTTTTCATACAACATCTTTAAAATTCCTGCAGTATACTACATATGTATGTATGTATATTTTGGTTTCCCCCATCATCTGCAGCACAAATCAAAGTCAAAATTTCAGGTTTGTTATTTATTTGTTGTTGAAATGATTCATTTTGTTAGATTGATATAAAAATTGTGCGAAATTTCTGGACTTCAGGCGATACTTTTTTTTTATGTAGTATAATAAATAAGAAACTGCGAGAGAAAAAAAAATATTTTTACAGCTGTTTTCTTTAAGTGTTAACATTTTGGTATTGCGCCATAAATTCAACAGCGAAAAGGGGTTAAGGAGTTTAAATGTAATGTGAAATTTATTGTCGTTGTGTTCTCAATTTTACGATGACATCAACAGCTGCATACAAAAGCGGCATTTGTTTTTTTTTTTTAATTCTTTGGTTGGAATAAAAAAATTTCATTGGTAAATAATGTTATTATATTCTCAGCGTTAAAAATATGCCGAAATAAAAATATTCGCATACATATGTACGTACATACATATATAGGTTGTCACAAGTGCGCGATAATCTGTTTTGCAAATCACCTTATTGTTTTCTTTCTCTCTTATGGATTCTACATACAGCTATTTGACGCCTTTAAGAGGTAGCTAATTGTTCGAAGCCATATTTGTATTCTTCTGAATATTCTGGTTTTCTTTCAGTAACCTTCCAAAAACATCTGTGTTTATCCCATTTGTCAGTGTTAGAAAGCCTCTAGATTTAGAAAAACTGTCACAACTCAAAAAGCGCTACTTTTCAGTAAATGAGTACTAAGTTTTTAAATGACTCTCATCATTTAGAAATTGGTATTTCTTTATGAAATTATTCTCTCTGTGGAGTTGGAGCATTTCACGAAACGATCCTAAACGCTACATTTTTGCTTTAAATGGTAAAAGTAATGTCTATGGGGTAAGGCGCTTAAGGTTGAGCTGAGAGATTAACTGATAAGCGTTAAGTAAACGGATTGAACACGAGTCGCTTGAGATTAGTTAGGCCTCAGGTTCAATGCTGAGCAGAGCAGAGGAAATCCAGTTTTATTCCCACCTTTTATATTTTATTACTCATTCTGTTTTGAAGAGTGTCATATTGTTGAAAAGATATGCCAGGTACAGTGAAACATCACTATAACGAACGTTTATATAAAGACAAACTCGATATTACAAAATTTGTGTTGAGTCCTCTGAAAAAAGCTCGTTCTAGTGAAATTTCGCATACAAAAATTTCTATAGATATGTATAAGAAAGAAATTTTGAGCATGAAAACATTCGTTAGAGTCCCGTTAAAAAGAAAACAAAAACTACAAATAATTCCATGCGACACTAAATTTTACACACGAAAAATCAATATATTTGCGACACTAGGGCCAAAAATAGAAAAACTGTGCTTTTAGTTTTTATATGATGTCAGGATTATAGGAAAGATAAAATTAACTAAAAAAAATATTTGAAAAATTCCATGCAATGTAAAATATCAATGTGGTTATCAAATAAAGGAAAAAATTCTGCAGAATTAAAAATGATTATATTTTTTGGCGCCACCTTGATTGTCCTTGAAAATTTGAAATATTTCTTTTTGATAAAATTATGTATTAAGGACCAATATACACATGACCACACTCTCCAATTTCGTCCTTCTAGCTTTATTAGTTTAAAAATCAAAATAATTGAAAGTTCAAAAAAAAAAAAAATTTTTTTTTTAAATTTTCTCTTTGATTGGGTACTCATATTGTTATTCTAGGTTGCACTGCATTAAAACAAAATTTCTGAATTAACCTTTGACATTTCAAAGTCTTTAAAAAAGCCCTAACTCGGAGAGAAAAAAAACGCCCATAGTTTCGTGAGTATATTAATTGTTTCGAATATATTTAAATTTTTTTGGATTTGTGAACACTTGGTATTTATAATGATTTTTCTAAAATATCTTTGTATTGAAATATTGCGAAACCGTAGATGTAACAATGGATTTAGCCAACCCCTTCAACTTCGTTACATCGAAGTTTCACTGTATTTTCATATATCTCTTTAAAAACAGAGTAACCTCTAAGGAGGTGCACACTAAAGTGGAAGAAGTTTAGAACTGTAGGTACTTCATTTGTGTCATAATGTAATTTTTTTTAAATTTCAGTACAAATAAGTATTCGTTTTATGCAATCAGTGCTTCAGTGTACTTATTTATATTTAGTGATGTGCTGAGTTGGTACTTTTAAGTATTGATAGAGTATCCAATACTTTTGATACTCGGTCTCTAATAAAAGCGCACATAGGCCAAAAATATGAAAAAAAACGGTACAGGGGAGACTCGCTCATCAACAGCCGAATGTAGGGGCCAAGAGAGCTTTTAATATTGATTCAAATCAAAAATGTATATATGGACATATGTGTCGGCCCGTCGCCATAATGCATAGGAACTCTTACTTGTCTGAATCATTTTTTTTCTAGATGAATCAGACGATATTATCTTTGTAGGCCTGAAAGACCTCTTCAGCCGTCGAAAGCATTTTGCTTAAACCTTGGATCCACTAAGGCCGATATCATATAAAATAGTATTAAATTAATTTTTTTTATAAACTCGAAATATATAAAGTGGCGCAGGTTTAATGTAGAGAAAAGGTATTGCGTACCGAAAGGGAAGTAGCGGGTACCGAAATCTTTTTGAAGTATTGGGTAACAATTGAGAAAATAAAATACTGGTAGAGCGCTTCCCCAAAAACAGGAAACCCGCGGAAATTATTCTAATTTGGCTATTCAACATATCCCCGTCAACTTTACCAGCTTTAAAGTTGACTAATAACAGCAGAGCTAAGTGTTGCCAAGTAAACAAATTGCAGTTGACAAGTCCTGACACCACCGTCTATCAAATTCGAATACCAGAAAAAACTTGCTTACACAAAACCCTGCACCTAGTGTATTATCTAAACGAAAATTCCAGCCATTGACTCTAAAGTTTGCCTTGTCATTTATTTAAAGCATATAAAGAAATATTTCACTACGTGGGACATTAAAATTAAGTAGCTGCTTTTATGAACTGCTTTTTAAGCTTTTTTAATATTTTTCGCCCAATTACTTCTGTATTCAGTAATTCCAATAATTTCACTTTTGTTCGAGCCAAATACCTATAAAAAAAATGAACAACTGTAACAAGTGTTTTTTTTCAAGAGATCTGCTGCAAGGTTTTCCCAAACTCTAATTACAAACTCTTTCAAGTCTTTGTTACAAAATTCACTTACCACGTTTCTCCTCCATTTTTATATTTAATTGTATTCAAGTGGTGGTGCTTTTATGTATTTATATCGACTGTAAAATGGGTATGCTTTCGCAATGCGAAATGTGTGCGCCAAATTTTTTTATAATTTTTTTTTTTTTTATTATTTATTTCTTTAAATTGGTGCTGTTTAGCAGAAATCACAATAGCACTTGTTGGCAATTAAAGCGTTGCAAAATCACTAACAAATGTCCAATGGGTGGGTTCAATAGATATCTACGAGTACATATACGTGGCGCGAAGATTGTTTTCTGCACAAAGCTTACAGAGTGGATGTGCTGCTGCTGCTGCTGCTGGCAATCGATGAAATGAAAGTCAACAATTAATTCACCGCTTCAATGCGCGCGCGGGTGTGCGATTGTGCGATCGTGTGCGCCAGTGTGTGTGTGTGTGTGCGTGCAAGTGCAAGTGCAAGTGGGCGCTGCAAAACTAAAATCAAAAGTTAGCAACAAGCAACAAGAAAAAAAAAACAAACAGACACAGCAACTTAATTTCTGTTGCAATTTCACTTGACCAATTGTTTTCAAACACTTATTGCCCGTCCATTTAGCGTCAGCAGCCTGTTTTTTTTTTATTTTCACCTCAAAAAAAGTTTCAAAAAAGCGTTTGTGCAGAAATATGTTCAGAAAAAGGAAAGTGCGATCCAGCTGCATCAATTGCTCGTAGGTGGTTTTGAACTGGGGTTTTTTGGCGTTTTTTGCTTGCCGATTTGTAACAGTTGTGGATGTCTTTCAAGCACCACCCAACACACAAAATTGCGAATGTGTAAAACTAAGGTGCACAAAGAAAGTTTTTTTTTTTTTAATGAGATTAAAGTCAATTTCAAGATAGCCAAATCTTCGCACAAAAATCTTTTAATTTGCGTAAATTTAATTAAAACTCCAAAGGCGCGTTTGTTGCAATTTAATTGGAAATATTAAAAAAAAACACCTTCTAGACTGCTGATAACCATTTAGGGTCTCTGCTGTTAGTCGCTTTGCTTTCAATTTACTCAGTTCATCTACTACTAATCAGTATAGGTGTAGGTAATCACTTTTTGCAGGCACTTTTAATTGAGTTACTATTTTATTAGATTTTTAATTTTTAAATTTGTTTATTTTCAATTTGTACTTTTGCTGCGGTTATTTCTTCTTTGTCGCGTTGCTACCACGTTCGGTGTTCGAGCGTAAATAAACACAATCTGCAGCTGACTTCAGCTGATATAGTAGTTGGAAGCGCAAAAATGGTGCGCGCACATATCCCAAGCAACAGCAGCACCAACAACCACCGCACAAGCAGCCAGCAAAGGCAGCCGCCAACAACGCCAGCCGTAACGTCGCTGCCAGCCTCTGCCGCAGGCAATCAAGCCGGCCAAAAGCANGGCAGAGGCGTTAGCAGAGGTAGCAGCAGCGCTGGCAATACTAATAGCAGTCAACCAGTCTATCATAGCAAAGTAGTTTAGCTCAGCAGCTTCATATCGACGCTTGACGTTTGGTATTGGCGTCGCTTAACTTGTTTATGGTGGTAGCTGAAAAGGCCGGCTAACAGTGTGTCATTTGATTGACGAATGTAAAAAAAAAATTAGTCTTTTATGGTTTTATTGAAAATTTAAAAAATGAAAAGGGCTGTCCATATATTACGTATGGGAGTTTTCGCCTGTTTTGAGCTCTCGCCCGCGTCGTGAAATTATCCTCTTTGCTCTTCGACGCTG